TCACTTTCTCTCCAGTTTTTGTCCTCATCACCACACAAATATTCTTCTCATATCCATTCTGGCATTTCTACTTTTCCACCTACCACCAGAGGAGTCTTTTTCATCATTCATATTTGATTTTGTCATCTTCTTGCTTACTACTCTTAAATGGCTTCCTGTTGCTGTCAGGATAAAGACTGACTTACACGGTCTGTTAGCCTCTCTCTTTCACATGGCTGGCCTCTATCTTTCAGCCTGAGTTCTTCCCCCATTCTCCACTTCTGCCTTCCCTGCTCTATCCACACTGACCTTCTTTCAGTCTCATTTCCTCCCCCATCCCATGTAATAGCCTTTGCACTTGCTATTTCCTCTGTTTGATGTGGTTTTCTTTACCTTTGTCACCAAGGCAGTGTCTACTCATCCTTCAGTAATGAGTTCAGACAGCGACTCCTCAATTAAGTCTCTAATAACACCCTGACCAGTCCAGATTCCCTTATTAAAGACTCTCATAACATCATGTGACTCTTCTTTATGCTACTTGCCACAGTTACAATTTTATATTTGTGTGTGTGTATGTGATTATTTGATTATCTTTTATCCACTAGACACTCAGCTCTATGAGATCAGGTATTGTGTCTGTGTTTTGTTCAGCACTGTATTTTTATTACCTAGCAGTGTTCAATAAATATATGTTGAATGAGTAAATGTTTATTAGTTCAGTTGTTTATTCAAAACAAAGGTATTCTAAAAATACTTTGAAGGAGGGCAGAGCCCATGGCGCACTTGGGAGAGTGCGGCACTGGGAGTGCAGCAGCGCTCCCGCCGAGGTTTCGGATCCTATATAGGGATGACTGCTGCGCTCACAGCGCTCACTGGCTGAGCGCAGTGCGGCCGGTCTCAAAGAGGACAAAAAAATAAATAAAAATACGTTGAAGGAGAAAAATAATCAGTAGGCTTTGCTGTAACTGCAAAATTTGCTTTTTCTGGGCCAGCCCGGTGGCACACTCGGGAGAGTGCAGCGCTGGGAGCGCAGCGACACTCCTGCCGTGGGTTTGGATCCTATATAGGACTGGCTGGTGTGCTCACTGACTGAGTACGGTGCGGACGACACCAAGCCAAGGGTTGCAGTCCCCTTACTGGTCACGAAAAAGACAAAAAAAAAAAAATTTCCTTTTTCTTTATAAAAGTGATCAAATTTAAAAAGAAATACTTGTTTCTATCCAACTCAATACTCTTTGTAAACTCAAGAGTGTTGTTGCCCAGGAAAAGATTTTTCTCTGTGGTTCAAGCTGATAATATGTGATTTAATTTGATGGTACAGATACACACATTGTAGTTCTATTGTCCTTTAATAAACTTTGTATTTTCTTTATAATACTCAGTGCATTTGAGTACATAATACTCAAATACTTTGTAAGTGCTTTAGTATTATACAAATAATTTCTGTGTTTAAAAGAAAAGGTCGTGCAGTATATTTTAGATCCTATGTTGCTGCCCGAAAAGAGACTAATGAAGAGCCAATTATTTATTCAACAATGACTCATTTTACACCTTCTATGTACCAGTCACTCAAGTGCGTTAAGGCATTATATTATTATTATACATTCTTGTTATTCATTCCACTCTATTTCAGTAAAAGTGATGTTAACTAACTTTCAGTGTGTACTATCCTGGCTCTGTTCTAAGTGCTTTATGTTATTAACTAACTAAATCATTGTAATAAGCCTGAGTTGTAGGACGTGTTATTGTCCCCATTTTGCAGCTGAGGCACAGAGTTTAACTGCTCAAGTTCGTACAGCTGGTAAGTGGTGGAGCTGGGCTTTGAGTCCAGGCAGTCTTGCTTTAGCATCTGCACTCTTAAGTTAGGTTACTACCCACTAAACCGATTTTTTGATCTCTTCATGGATTTCCCCCAGAAGTTTGAAAAAGACTGCTCATGACCTCTTCAAAGGCTGTTCTTGTGTTCTATTTCCTCTATGAAGCCTTCCCTTATTCAGGCAGATTTACTTTGACCTTAGTACTTACTGTTTTTTGTTTTTTTGTTTTTTTTTTAAAGATGACTGGTAAGGGGATCTTAACCCTTGACTTGGTGTTGTCAGCACCACGCTCACCCAGTGAGCAAACCGGCCATCCCTATACGGGATCCAAACCCGTGGCTTTGGTGTTATCAGCACCGCACTCTCCCGAGTGAGCCACAGGCCGGCCCAGTACTTACTGTTTTAACCATATAATTTGTCATTGGTCTACATTATTCACTAGTGTATGTGTACAGATCTTTTCTTGCACAACATTTTAGGATTAAGGGCAAGGATTATATCTCAAACTTTTTATCTATAGTTCCAAGAAAATTGGATTGCACTATGTAGCACACAGAAGTTGCTGAAAAAATATGTGATGTGACTTGATATCCTCTTCCATTTCTCCCAGTTCGATTATCTCCATCCTTTGTGCACATTACTTTGTACTCATTTCACTGTAACTGGTTCTTGTGGTAATGCAAATATATTTGGTTTTTAGTTATCAAAGACATTGGAAGAGGTGGCTATGGACGTAACCTGGGAGAAGTGGGAGCAACTGGACCCTGCTCAGAAGTACATGTTGGAAAAATATAGGAACCTGGTTTTGCTAGGTAAGGGTTACTTTCTCTCTGTATCTTAGAATCTTTCCATGTAGTATTTTGTCGCCTTTAGTTGTTATTAGCCATAGACATTATAATGTGAGGACTCAGAATGTGGGTTTTGGAGTGAGAAGACCTGAATTCAAGTCCTGGCTCTACCACTTACCATCATAGAAAATTTAGGCAAGTTTTTTAAACCTTTGAGACTGTTTTCCCATGTATAAAATGGGGCTAATAATAAAGTCTAACTCAGAGTTTTTTCAGGATTATCTGTCTAGGACAGAATAAAATAAATACTTGGCACGAATACCTGGTATTATTGTAAGGACTCAGTAAATGTTAGCTGTTGCTGTTTTCCTATTAGTGCTATGATCATATTTATTATTATTTACATACTTTATTGAGTTTGGCCGGAGTTGAAGGATCAGGCTCATTTCTGAGTTAAGATAGAAGTGCTTCTCTTCCCTATTTATGACAAAAGGAATGGACCACACAGAACTGGAAAATGATTGCTAGGATGTGCTTTACTTTTCTAAATTTTGATCTCTAGGCTATTAGTATCTCCCTGTACTCCTACCAAGTTTCAAATGTTTCTATTCTAGAAGTAGAAAAGTGATTTGGGCTTATATCAACTTCTCGATTTTCATCTTTAACTCCTCCTTTTTCCTTATTCATTTTTTGTGACCTTTTCAGAAGTCCTTTAGGTATTTTCTCTTTCTTTCATGACAAGTTGCTAGCCCTTTTGCTTCCCTATGAGCAGGGATTTCAGTTTCTGAACCTGATGTGTTCTCCCATTCGGAGGAACAGAAAGAGTCAGGCTACTGAAGGCAAATGTTCCAGTAGGTAGCTTCCCAGGTGAGTGGAAATCATGCTGAAGAAAGTCATTAGAAGCCGCTTTTCTGCTGTTCAATGAAGGATTGGATCACTGTCTTCAATCTTTCCAGGGATTTGAGATCACCTAATATGAATTTTCTTATGTACTATTGGCCTTTATTTCAAAATTCAACTCTAATTTTTTCTGCTGTGGTTAGAGAAGGCTGTATTCTTCCTCTAAAACTGACCCATCTGTATTCTACATTCATGAATTTGTTTAGCAAACACAGATCCTTCCCTTCCGTTATTTTCTGTAACCCCAGTTTTAGGATTAATTCTTCCTTGCCTTTTGAAACATCTAGGATCTTCCTACCTACCTCAACAAAAACATCTCACAGTTACTTTTTTGAGTTTCTGTTATTTTTCTTGATGTGACCCATGCCTTGGACCTTGGGCAAGTTACTTATTAACTTTTCTGTGCCCCCCTCACTTTTTTTTTTTTTCCTGTAAAATGGGTATAATGATCTACCTCATTAAGTTTTTGTGAGGCTTAAGTAATACACTTACAATATTTACAACACTGCCTGGTACATAATAAGTGCTCACTGAGTATTACTAGTGGTTGTTAATGTTGCTATTGTAAGTATACACATTTACTTCTTGACCCTATAATTTATGTTTGTCTCTCACAACTGTATTTTTAAGTATGCTTATAAAAGTCATGACACCTTTCTTGTCAAGAAAATCTGATGACCTTTTCTTAGCCCTCTTTCATCTTCTCAGGTAAAATCAATCCAGTTTACTGTCTTTTATGAAACTATCTTTTCATAATGTACACGACAGTCTAAAGCTCTGATTCATCTAATTTTCTAGCTATTCCATGGGATTTTTTCACAGTTTTTGTTTCTGCCTCTTAATAATGATATCTATAAAAAGTTGTCTCTGCAGTGGTGGTTTCAGTTTACAGGTTAAATATCCCTCTTAGCATTTTTGCCTATAATTATTAAAAAAGTAGCTTTTCGGGGCCGGCCCAGTGGTGCACTGCTATAGTGCGCCACTTGGAAGCATGGTGGCACTCCTGCCGAGGGTTCGGATCCCACATACAGACCGGTTCCCGCTCACTGGCTGAGCGAGGCACGGGAGCAACACCGAGGGTTGCGATCCCGTTGCCGGTCCTGGTCCGGTACGGGGGCAACACTGAGGGTTGCGATCCATTGCCGGACACGGAAAAAGACAAAAAGGAAAAAAAAAAAAAAAAAGTAGCTTTTCACTATCAAAACTTTACTTTTCCAAATATCAGGATATTTGTTTTATCTCACCTTTTGCTTTAAATAGTTTCCAAGACTTAGATTTAAAAAAAAAAAAAAGTAGTTGGACTAATTTTAAAAACCACTGTCATTGTGGTAGTCTCAAAAAAAGAAATCTATCATTTGCCTATTCATTGAGCATATTCTGTCTACCAAATACTGTGCCAGGAGTTGAGCACTTGAATGGGAAAGACTTTACTCTCTGATTTCCAGGAGCTCAGAGTCTAGAAGGAGATTGGTAAGTGCCATGATGGGCATATGCTCACCCATCATGCGGAGCGATGGTAAGGAAGGTAGACTATGGAGCCTGGCTGACTGGGGTGAATCCTGACTCTTCCACTTACCAGCTCTGTAGCCTTGAACATATTTCTTATTTCTCTAGACCAGCACTGACCAACAGAAATGTAATGCAAGCCATATATGTAATTTTAAATATTCTAGTAGTCATGCTATAAAAAATTAAGGAGAAATAGGTGAAATTAGTTTTAATAGTATCTTTTATTTAATCTCATGTACTCAAAACATCATTTCAACATGTAATTAATATTAAAAATTATTAGTTAAATATTTTATACTTTTTTTGTACTGAGTGTTCAAAATCTGGAATGTATTTTATTAACACTTACAACACAGCTCAATTTGGACTAAGCATATTTCTAATGCTCAGTAGCCACATGTGGCTAGTGATTATTGTGTTAGAAAGTACAGCTTTATTTCCCATTGCATCATTCATAAAATTGGGATAATAATAGCTTCTAACTTATGAAATTGTAGTGAGGAATACATATGTGATTACATATGTGTAAAGTTTCTTGACCAGTGTGGCTCTAAGTTTGATAAGCACTAATTAAATGTTAGGTGTTGTTACATATAAAAACAAGAATTACTTTATTAGTGCAGAGGCTATGGGAATAGATTAGGAGCCTAACCAGAGGTGATGTTAGAATTGAATCCTGAAGAATGAGCAGGAATGAGCTTAGCACAGAGTAGGTGGTAGAAGAGGTGCTCTAGGGCCAGCCTGTGGCTCACTTGGGAGAGTGTGGTGCTGATAACACCAAGGCCACGGGTTCGGATTCCTATATAGGGATGGCTGGTTAGCTCACTTGGGAGAGCATGGTGCTGACAATACCAAGCCAAAGGTTAAGATCCCCTTACCGGTCATCTTTTAAAAAAAAAAAAAAAAAAAAAAAAAAAAAGAAGAGGTGCTCTAGGTAGAAAGATCAGTATGGGCAGAGATACATAAGAAATTTGATAAGTACAAGGAAGTAAATACAGTATGGCTGAATTATAAGGCATGTGTGAGTAAGAAATGAAAAGCAGTCTGGATTGGTAGGTAGAACAGATCATTAAGGACCTGTATCTCAAAGATATGGGAGGAATTTAAATATTTGGCCAGAATTTTTATACTTGAAAGATCACATTATCAGCAGTATAGAGAACTGGAAAGACACCAAAAAAGAAGCCTTCCCTGATGTCACACAGATAGTGGGAGCTGAGATTAAATCTCAGGATATTCTGTGTCCTTAGCCATTACTTTTCTACTGCATCAGACTGCCCCTTAGGGCTGTAGAGATTAAGAGCTTGGACTCTGGAGTCTGGTTTATGGGTAACCTCAGGCAAAGTTATGTTAGCATTCTGAATATCCCTTGAAATGGAGTTTCTATTCATGTCCTAGGCTTGTTAGGAAGATTACATATGTTAATAAGAATCAGCCTAGCATAAACTCAATTAGTATTAGCTATACAACCAAAAAAATTATCAAAGTTCTTTTCTTTTCCTCTAAGATATGAAATAATTCTGAAGACAATATATGCACACATGAGATAATAGATAAACAATGTACAGCACTGCTTTTAAGTGCTAACATTAGAAGTTAAAACAGTAAATATTGTTGGAGATCAGGGAGACTGGAGAGTTAGGAATGTTGTGAGACTTGTGTAATTTGAGTGGGGCTTTAAAGTATGGTCAGGAATTGATGGGTGAAACAAGGGAGAAAGGGCTTTGGGGGCAGGAGAAGCAAAAATAAATTAGAGTCAAAATGAAGAATGATTGTTGAGTGTTAGGAGTACAGCTAATCAATAATTCTTCATATTTAATGTTTACTTATTACATGACAGGATCTAGGGGACACACTGAAAACAGATATTTAGTGAAAAATGTGCATACTGAATGGAGAGACCCTCACCCCAGTTTTTCCTTTCACTTGACTCAGAGCATAGGCAAGTGGGCTTTTACATCCCACCCCCTGCCTGGGTAGAAGGTTGAAGTAATTCATTGTGGGAAAACTAATTAGCTGAAGACCAGAGACCTATAGCTGCCAACATTTGTGCATCCTCTAATGAATCAACCAGGTCCCTTTACAGTCATTCTGCAATAAAATCCATTATTCATCATGTCCTTACATATAAACACTTATTGCAGTAAAAAGGTTAGGATCTTTTCTTAATTAAGAATCAATATATTAGTAACTTACTCTTAAGTATGAATCCAGAGTGAAGAACTACTTCCTAGATATGCTGATATATAAAAAGAAGGGTCCACCTTTTTCCTGTATGCTTAATGTTTCTTGGCTTTCTGTTCATGATTGAAGGTAAAAAATAATGTCGGGTTGTCATTGGAAAGCCCTAAGAACTTTTTTTATTTCAAAAGAGTGAAATATCTTTTCCTTTCTTTTAGACCTAGAGTTTATGCTCTTCTTACATCAAATGTAAAACAGTAACTTTAACAGTTATTTGACAAAGAGAGATTAGCTAAAAGTATTGCTTTGCATAAGTCAAAAAACAATTCTAAGAGAAAAGTTTATTTAAAATATATTTAAAGAACTCTTAGTAGGTTTTAATAGTTTCAATGCTAATTAAGTACATGGGATACTCCTTAAAAGACCATCCCTCTCTGATAATAGTTTTCCTTTCTTAATCCCTGCTCATCATGTTTCTTTGTTCTTTTAGCCTTTTACCTAATCATTCATCTTACCTGACAGAATGTTTGCTTCATTCTCTTTGATTACAGTATGTCCTGAATCAGACCCTTTCACACCACTAGTATTTCCCTCTCACCCCTTCCTAGATTACTAGGCCATATTTACATTCCCAGTATTTTATGTTCTCAGTATTTTTAATTTCATTATCCCTAATATAACAGCTAATATAGCAGCTTCTTTTCTTCCAGCATTGGGCACATAGTAGATTTGTATCTTTGTGTCTTTTAGATGAGAAGATTAGATGTGGGGCTAAGAAGTCAACAGTAGAGCAGCAGGACATTTCCAAAGAAGGTTCATCTCAAGGAATAAAGACAGAAGAATTTACAAAGAGAAAGTCTGTGTTGGAAGAAACCTGGAAATCTAAAGGCCAGTTTAAAAATCAGCCGCTAAACCAGGAGAAATATATGGGTCAAGAAATAGTCACCTGCATGAAAATTTCTGCCAGAGAAAGAAATATAGAATCTAATGAATTTGGGAAAGGTTTCAGTATAAGACCAATACTTGTTATAAAGCAGAGTGATTCCATAGAGGAGAGATGTCATAAATATGGTACGTGTGGAAAGATGTTCAAACAAAATTCAGATTTAATTATAAAGAGAAAATGTGATGGAAAGAAACCTTGTAAATGTAGTGAATGTGGGAAGACCTTCAGAGACCATGCTATTCTTGTTCAGCATCAAAGAACTCTTAGTGGAGAGTGACCCTATAAATGTGATGAATGTGGAAAAGGTTTTAACCAGAGTTTCCACTTAACAAACCATCAGAAGACTCATACAGGAGAAAAGCCCTACAAATGCAACGAATGTGGGAAGGCCCTCAGTTATTGCTCAGTTCTTATCCAACATCAGAGAATTCATAGTGGGGAGCGACCTTATGAGTGTACTGCATGTGGCAAGACCTTCAGTCATAGTACATACCTTACACAGCATCAAAGAATACACACTGGTGAGAAACCCTATAAATGTCTTGAATGTGGAAAGGCTTTTAGTCAGAGCACACATCTTACTCTGCATCAGAGAATCCATACTGGAGAGAAACGTTATGAATGCAATGAATGTGGTAAGTTCTTTAGTCAAAGTGCACATCTTACTCAACATCAAAGAATTCATACAGGAGAAAAACCTTATGAATGTAATGAATGTGGGAAAGCCTTCAGTGATCACTCAGCTCTTATTCGACATCATATCATTCATACTGGGGAGAAACCCTACGAATGTAATGACTGTGGTAAAGCTTTCAGTTATTGTTCAGACCTCATTCAACATCAGAGAACGCATACTGGAGAGAAGCCATACAAATGCAATGAATGTGGGAATGCCTTTAGTGATTGTTCAGCCCTTATTCAACATCAAAGAATTCACACCGGAGAAAAGCGCTATGAGTGTAATGAATGTGGGAGAGCCTTTGGTAACTATTCAGCTCTTATTCGACATCAAAGAATTCATACTGGAGAAAAACCTTATGAATGTAAGGAATGTGGAAAAGCCTTCAACAGAAGCACATACCTTACTCAACATCAGAGAAGTCATACAGGAGAGAAACCATATAAATGTAATGAATATGAGAAAACTTTCAGCCAGAGTTCATTCCTTATGCAACATATAAGGATTCATACTGGAGAAAAGCCCTACAAATGCAATGAATGTGGGAAAACTTTAAGTGTCCAATCAGGGCGTATTCAGCATCAGAGAACTCACACTGGAGAGAAACCGTATGAATGTAATGACTGTGGGAAAGCTTTTAGTTTCTGTTCAGCCCTTATTCAACATAAAAGAATCCATACTGGAGAGAAGCCCTATAAATGCAATGATTGTAGAAAAGCCTTTAGTGATCGGTCAGGACTTGTTCAGCATCCTAATTCATACTGGAGAGAAACCTTATAAATGTAATGTATGTGGAAAAGTCTTCAGTCAGAGTACAAACCTCACAAATCATCAGAAAACTCATACTAATGAAAAATCCTATAAATGTAATGAATGTGGAAAAGCCTTTAGTTACTACTCAGGCCTCATCCAACATCAGATTACTCATACTGGGGAGAAGCCTTATGAATGCAGTAAATGTGGCAAAGCCTTCAGCCGAAGGATGGACCTTAAAAAACATCAGAAAACTCATACTGAAGAGGAACCTTACAAATGTAATGAATGTGGGAAAGCCTTTGGCCAGAGCACCTATCTTACAAAACACCAGAAAATTCACAGTGGAGAGAAATCCAATATACATACTGAGTATAGGAAAACCTTTAAACAAAATTCTTCTATTCAACATGAGAAAACTCACACTGGAGACAAATCTTCTGACTGCCTTGAGAGTTTGATTAGTGTGGAGTTCCTTCCCAGGGAAATGAAAGGAGGATCATGAAAACTGTCAACTACCTAGAATAGCCATATGGTTTAATGGAAAGAGCATGTTTCTGGGTTTTAGAAGTCCTGGATTTTAATCTCAGCTCGATTACTAACTAGGTCTTTTACTTTGGGGTAAGTCACTTTACCTCTTTCAACCTTAATTACCTCACCTGAATAATTGGAAGGCCTGATTAGTTGATCTTGAAGATCCACATTTATTATATTTAGTAATAATGCGGTTTCTATAGATGTGTGTTCATAGGGGGCTGGCTGGTTAGCTCAGTTGGTTAGAGCATGGTGCTGATAACCCTAGGGTTCAATCCCTGTACTGGCTGGCTGCCAAAAAAAATTATATATATATATATATATATATATATATATATACACACACACACACACACACACACCTATATATATACACACTGAATGGGTGAACTGATATTAATATGTGGTTCATAAATTGTGACTTATTTATTGTACACAAGGTATGATTCACAACATGAGAATGTAATGGTCATTAAGGATTCAATGAAGATATAGAGCACATGCCATGTAGCCATTTATTACTCTTGCATTAGTTTTCCAAAATTTGACGTCATAAATATTGAAGAAAATTAAGTGATAATGTAGTATAAGTTTCATGAATTATTGCAGTAGAAAGGTGGGGATCTTTCCTAGATTGAGAATATGGTGTTAGATAAAACCTCAGGGAAAAAAAATAAAAGGAATGATTCAAATTGTTAGTAGATAAGGGATAGGTTACCTAGATTCCATCTAAAGGTTTGCAAATACAAACCTTCTCTACTAAGTTGAATATGGCTATCATCATGTCCCAGATAAGGAAGAACTAGAAAACATGGCTTGGGCAGTTTACCCAAAAAAAAGATGAAACTGGAAAGTGCATTTGTTATTTCCACACCTAAATATGTAAGACCATGTGAATGAGAAATTTGAGTACCTGATGTCTAGAAAAATTCCTTGTCTGACTTTTTCCTATGGTTACAGAGACAATGGCTTGAAAATATGAAGATTTATCTCAGAAGCCTATGATTTTAAACTGACCACCTAAGGACAAGAAAAAGCCACTTGTAATGGAACTTATCAAATGTATGGTTTCAGAGACTAGTCCAGACTTAACTGAGTCTGAGTCTGGAGTTCATTTTGATGTCCAAGAAAACTGCTCACATATAAGGGTGAATTATGATGGACTTGCAACATGGCTTTTAAGAAGACCTGCTCTTAAGGCAGCAGTGTTTAAGCTTTTCTGAATTTATGTATCCGTCTGAGAACCTATTAATGCCATAGGGTTTCTCACCAGAAAAATACATGGCACATTCACATGATTTTGTGAGCAGTTACAAAATAAATGTATATAAAATTAGTACTATGCACACACACTGTACTATCAGTAAATAATTGGAAAGTGTAATAGAATAGAGATTATATTCACAATAGCTGTAGAAATATAAAATATGGGAGTGAATTTAATAAGAAATATGCAAGACCCCAAAATATTATTTAAAATTTTATAATGAGAAAAAGCTGATTAATACATGAGTAATCTATCATATATCTACATGGAATGAGTGAATAAAATTAATTTGTAAGTTTAAGGTGATTCTGACTTCAATATGAAAGAAAAAAAGGGATGAGAATGTGCAAAATGTTTCCAAAATATAATTCTGGGGATGCTTGGGCAGGGTTACTGCAAAAACAATAAATCAATAAAACAGAAAAAATCTGAAATAGGCTCAGTACATAAAAGAATTTAGCATATGAAATTCCAAATTAGTCAAGAGTGGTTGGATAATTCAGTACGGTAACTAACTTATAGCAAATAAATTTCTCAGGTGGTTAAAGATTAAAATGAAACTATAAAAGAAGAAAATATATACATAAATACTTAAGTGCTCTTGGGCTTCTGGGAGCTTTCTAAAATATTCACACAAAAATGATAGCTATCTCTACCAAAAAAAAAAAAAGCAAAACGAAGCTAAATCTGGGAGCTTTCTAAAATATTCACACAAAAATGATAGCTATCTCTACCAAAAAAAAAAAAAAAGCAAAACGAAGCTAAAATTTTTCAGACTATCTTAAAAATTTAAAAAGATAAATGACAAGTTGGAAAAAAATTTTGTTTTATATATGAGGGTATTTCAAAAAGCTCATGAAAAGATTCATATTATCTTTTAATTCTGTTTTCCACAAACTTTTTGAAGTGTACCCTCATGATGGAAAGGAGTTGATAGTATGTAAGAGATTTTGAGATAATAAAAAGAAAAATGAATCAAGGAGATGGCACAAAAGAAATAAAAAGTGGCCAATAAAATGTGAAAAAATATTTGGCCTCATTTGGTCTCAGTAAATTGTTGCTTAGAACAACTATTAGATACATTGTTTTGTTCCAACAAATTGACAAAGTACTGAAAATAAATATCCTCAATTTGAGGGTATGAGTACTCTAATTCCTGCCTGGAATGCCATGTTTATGGTACAGTATTTCTGGTGGCAGTTCGGCTGTATGTTACATAAGACTTAGAGTACATGCTGGTTAACCTAGCATATCCACCTGCAGAAATGTATTCTAAGGAAGGAGTCATGGATATGCATACAGACTTATCAACAAAGGTTTTTAATTTAATGTTGTTACACTGATGAAACACTAGAAACAACCAATTTGTGTCCCACAAGGGGAAATTGGTTAAATAATCTGGAATATTACGCAGTCTTTAAAAATAATCTTAAGAAGAATATTTAGTGAAAATGAATTAATATGAAGTAAAATAAAAACCAGGTTAAGACAGTAAGTACTTTGTGTATGTGTGTGTATAAAAGACTAAAATTATATACATCAAAATGTTATTTTTTTGTTATGGTTAATTTTATCAAATTTTCTGTAATGCACATGTCATTTTTTAAAATGAATTTTTTTTTTTTTTTTTTAAAGATGACCGGTAAGGGGATCTTAACCCTTGACTTGGTGGTGTCAGCACCACGCTCTCCCAAGTGAGCTAACTGGCCATCCCTATATAGGGACCTGAACCCGTGGCCTTGGTGTTATCAGCACCACATTCTCCCAAGTGAGCCACGGGCTGGCCCTTAAAAAGAATTTTTAAAAGGCATGTTTTTCTGTCAATTTTGAACTTTTTAAAAAATTGATAAGCAAATTTAATAGTCTTGGAATATGGTAACATTTTAGTGAATTATGCAGTAGATTTTAAAAGTATGAGCACAAGTATAAGACTATCATAAAGCTATTACGCTATGACTTTGTTGTTTCTGTTTCAGCCTGAGAAAATTCATTCACTTATTACAGTTCAGCATACAGCAAATACCACTTCACTCACAGAGATACATTTCAGTCAGGCAGCTCTTGCTTTCACTTCTACTTCCCAACACTTTGACCATGTGCTGATTGCAATTTGAATATTCTCCTTTGCTTTTATTACTCTTGCCTCTCAAACTCCTTATGGCCTAGCACATACATAGTCTTGGGTTATTATTCTTACTTGACTCAACAGCTCCATTCAGTACTCATCTTTCTTTGAATTTCTGTAGCATTTATTCACATGGCATTTAGTACCTAATGGTTCTGGGATGTTCAATTACAAGTTCTTTGAGGGTATGATTCATACCTTAGAGTTTTGTAATTTCACAGAAGGTAGATAGAAGTAGAGTAAATTTTAGTTGACTAAGGAAGGGAGAATGTTTTAGTAATATTGACTGAGGAAAGGAGGATGCTTAAGTAACATTTGCTGGGGGGATGGGGGCTGGTGCTGTAATAGCAAGATTGTTATGAAGGTGTGCACTTTATTTGATTTGCAAGATGCCTCTTAGAACCCTGTTTTAGCCAACCCCAAAATATACAACCATATTTACTTTATAATATATATTAAAAACTAAATCAAAAATGTAGGGATTACTAAAATCAAAGATGATGTTGTCCAGCAATCTTTCTGAATGTGTCCCTCCAAAATTTATATGTTGACACCTAATCCTTAATAAGGGATTCCTAATACTTAAGAGGTGGGGCCTTTGGGAAATGATTAGGTCATGAAGTCTCTGCTCTTGTGAATGGGATTAATGCCCTTATTAAAGAAGTTTGAGGGAACTTGATTGCCCCTTATGCCATGTGAGGACGCATGGAAGTACTATGGCCATGTTGCCCTGAATGTCCGATATTGTCTGATCTCGAAAGCTAAGCAGGGTCAGGCTTTGTTAGTATTTGGATAGGAAACATAGAAGGCATCGTCTCTGAAGCAGAGAACAAGCCCTCACCAGAAAGTGCCAATGCCTTGATCTTGGACTTTCCAGCCTCCAAAATTGTGAGCAATAAAAACTGTGGCTTATAAATTACCCAGTCTAAGGTAGTTTGTTATAGCAACCTGGAATGGACTAAGACAGTATAGTTCTCCACAATAATGTCTAACTCCTATACTTAATACAGCTATCCTGGAATTTTTTAAAACTTAATATTCTCAATCTTCTTTAGCAACTTAGTGTTGAATTCCAGCTATGGATACTAGATCATGCATAATTTATTCTTTCATGTTCTTTCATAGCTTGCTTTGAAAGAACCTCTTTCCACTGAAATACCTCTTCCACTGAAATATTGAATCACTCAGTTGCTTTGAACTTCATGGGGTATCAATTTGCTTTCTCCTGTTTATAGTAGAAACCTGTTAGTCTTTATAAATGTTAAGATAACTTCTTCCAGGGCCGGCCTGGTGGCGCACTGCTACAGTGCGCCGCTTGGGAGCGTGGCGGCGCTCCCGCCGAGGGTTCGGATCCCATATACAGACCGGCCACTCACTGGCTGAGCAAGGTGCGGGCGCAACACCGAGGGCTGCGATCCATTGGTCGCAAAAAAAAAAAAAAAAAGATAACTTCTTCCATTTACTCTTTACATGAGTGTTTTAATATACTGAGGTGGTTTTACCTAATTGATTTCCCTTAGCATCTTTTTAGCAACCACATTTGGCTCCGTACTCAAAAAGATTGTATTTGTTAGTGTATAGCAATGTCTTTTATAACAGACTCAAAATATCAGTGGTTATACAAAGAGTAAGGGCATAAGCAACCCAGAGTGCCTGGGTATAGGATCAGGAACACAGGAACTTGCAAACTTACTGCTTT